GTATCTTTGCTGCATCACAAGTGTACCCATGGAACTGATGAAAATAGCTATGTTCTCATCTTAGTATTATTCTTAATTGTTTTCCTTATTTTTAGATTTCTATCGCTACCTGTTATTTCTTTAGCGTCGGTATCTTATTATCTTGTTTTTGTTTCTGCTTGTTGCACCTACCTTTTTTTCCCCACTGTTCTGGATACAACCTCTCTACCTTCTCAAATGTTAGGCTAAGGTTAGGTTGATGTTTGATTGGTAAGATAAAATTCATTCAAACTCACCAAGGGATGCAATCCTTGTTTAGAGAGAATTAAAAATTAACAGACAGGATACACTGATTTTATACGATCAAAAGCTTTATCTATAAAAAAATTAACTTGCATTATTGTATGCTAAAAAAAGGATCACATTGAACAAGTATGACAAGCACATTTGGATGAAAGGACAGCTTATTTTGTTTTAGGCCATAGTGAAGGTAATGGATAGATTTCTTAAAAGAGAGACAAGGATTTTGAGATTCCAAGTTGGGGAGTGCTCATTGATGTTTGATTTTTACAACAAAATTGTTCAAATTCTTAACTGGAAATTCAAAATTTTCAATTCCCTTTCAGTGAATTCTTGTAGGACTTTGCATGTAAGTTCATGTATGAGTTTGACATTATGAAAAATTGTACTTCCTGAAATTTCCAATGCATTTTACAGATCATACCTTTTCTTTTTGGCTTATTTTTTCTTTTCCGTTCCTTCAGCTATCCACGTACAGAAAGCACAGCATATCCTTCTTCTTTTGACTTCAAAGGAACACTAGGGGCGTTGGTGCATAATCCTGTATTTGGTGCTTATGCGCAAAAGCTTTTAACTGATAATTATATTAAGCCACGGGCAGGAACTGATGCAGGCGATCATCCTCCGATAACTCCGATGCGTTCTGCTAGTGAGGATAGTTTGGGGAATGATGCATGGAAGTTGTACCAGTACATCTGCCAGCATTTTTTGGGAACTCTCTCTCCAGATTGCAAATATAGAAGGTTGAGCTTTATTTCGTGATTAACGTCTTAGTAACTCCTCTTGCTTTGAGCTTATTTGCATATCTTTTAAACTAACCAACTACTTGGATAACTCTAATACTGATTTCTTCCTAGAACATGTCAAACAGCTCTTTTATGTATTCACATTATAGATCCAATTCAGATCCTGCTTTTAGTGTTTTTTCTTTCTTGTAACTAGCACAGTACGTGCCAAGTATAGAGGACTATAACAAGTTCAAATCTAGGCACTATTAATCTACTTGTCTTTGAAGAATCTTAGTTTCTGACTGAGAAGTTTAAGTCATGTAAATTGGGTATTTTCTCAGGATAAAAGTTGAATTTGAAAGTGGAGGAGAGCAATTTCAGTGCGTTGGGCAGCTTGCCACAGTCAAAGGATTCACCTCTATTATGCCATGGCTGGCTATTAGTGAGAAGAATCTTCCTGAGTTTGCTGTAGGAGAGAAAATCGAGGTTTCTAAAGTTGAACTAGATGAGGTATCACATAATCTGTTCAATTGAACTTCTCATTTGTTCTTCAGCTCTGGATTAAATTGCTAGTCTTTGCACTTCAGTAGTATTTATTGGTCCATTAGTTAATTCTTTTGATTTAGGGTACAACTACACCTCAATCTCAAGTTAGTTGGGGTTGTCTATATGAATCCTCATTATCCATCATTTTACCTGACACTTTGTTCTTTCTTTGCTATGAAATGACTTGAAACACCCGCAGCTTACTGAGTATATGACCCTATATAGAAACATATGGAGGTCGAGGATTAGGATAAAAGGTTAGTAGGTAGTCATGCAGTCTAGTTTCCTATATCAGTGGTATCTGTACTTTTTTTCTCTTACTTTCTTATACATCAGTTTCATTATTGCCTGATGTCTCCTTTGCTTCGTTTATCGTATTATTTGTTGGTGCTACTGGTATTCTATATTCATTACTATTCGCATAAGTCTTTTTACTTCACTTAGTTCTTCTTTGTAACTTGTAGGGGGACACTTCGCCTCCGGGTTATCTCAGCGAAAGTGAGCTGATCTCTTTGATGGAGAAACATGGTATTGGAACAGATGCGTCAATCTCTGTGCATATTAACAACATATGCGAACGCAATTATGTCCAGGTTTTGCTATATGCATTGATTTCCAATTCTAGCTGCTGTAGATTGTCCTCTCTATTGCTTTGTGTTGTGGTTCTTTTGACGTGAAACAATCTTCTACTAGAAATTAGACTTCTGAGTTTGGCTGAATCAAATTGCAGGTACAAGCTGGGCGGCGATTGGCTCCAACTCCCCTGGGTATCAGCTTGATAAGAGGGTATCAATGCATAGATTCTGATCTCTGTTTGCCTGACATACGAAGTTTCATTGAGCACCAGATCACTTTGGTAGCTAAAGGTCAAGCAGATCATTCAATGGTTGTGCAGCATGTACTAGAACAATTCAGAAGGAAGTTCAGTTATTTTGTTAAGCAGGTATAAGATATTAAGCTCTTACGCGATGGTAGATAGCGCTTTGCTGCTTTCTTTCTTTCCAAACTAGAAACAAGCCGATGTTCACAAATAGACGACTGATTATGCTTTTTATCTTTACTGAATCTGTAACATGCTGATGCTCACTGATAAAAACTTAATCATGAGCTTCCAAATACATCTCTTAAGAACTAGTCATGCAAACATCACCTTGCAGTTGTGGATCTGCCCTGCTGGTCTCCATTATTGTTTTTCCTGAAAAGCTACTGGACATAAAATAATATCAGACCGATCCTTAGAAATGAGTGTTTTTGGTATAAGAAACAACTACAACATACCCAATGTAGTCCCGCAAAATAGGATCTGGGGAGGATAGAGTGTACGGAGACCTTACCCTACATCAGATAGATCCTCGGCTTAAGGAAAAAGTCCAAAGCAGCCTGGAAAAGTAAAACTTTAGTCTAAACAAAAATTCGGGATAATTACTGTTATTGACACTAGAACCTAGCTAAGAATTGGAGGGCAAAAAAGTTCTGAAGCATGTTCTGCACTTTATCCCACCTTTCTCTCATTTTTGGCCCATAAATTCTTTAACTTGTATTATCTAATGCTTATTACTCACTGAATCTCGTGTCTGGCTTCATGTAGATTGATAACATGGACGCACTATTTGAAGCCCAATTTTCTCCACTTTCAGACTCTGGACGTCTCCTCAGTAAATGTGGCAAATGCTTGCGATATATGAAATACATATCTACTCAACCAGCTCGACTGTACTGTGGTACCTGTGAGGAAGTCTATTATGTACCTCAGAAGGGTACAGTCAAGGTAAGTGTTTTATTGTTATAAAGTTACTTCCAACCCTTATGAATTAGAACGGAAAGAACTACTATATATGCCCTTTTATGTTGCAGCTTGAGAAGTTGGTAATTTCTCTTTCGATTAGCACCTTATTGTATGATCACCCAATTTTCCAACTAAACGTTGAACTTTAACTTTTTTTCAGCTATACAAGGAGCTTACTTGCCCCCTTGATAATTTCGAGCTGTTGCTATGTAGCATGCCTGGTCCCGAAGGCAAGTCGTTCCCTCTCTGTCCTTATTGCTTCAACTGTCCCCCGTTTGAAGGCATAGATACATTTTTTGGCGCTCCTAAAACTGGTGATTCAACCAAGTTGGGAAAGGGAGTCGGAATGCCTTGCTTCCTCTGTCCTCACACCACATGTCCACATTCTGTGATCGCACAAGGCGTTTGTGCCTGTCCAGAATGCAGTGGTACACTTGTTCTTGATCCTGTCAGCGCTCCAAAATGGAGGCTCTACTGCAACACGTGCAATTGTCTTGTATCCTTGCCCGAAGGAGCTCATCGGATTTCTACAACTCAAGAGAAGTGTCCTGAATGTGATTCCACTATCATAGAAGTCGATTTCAACAAGAAAACAACGCCCTTGAAAGATGGAGCTACACTCCATAAGGGTTGTATTCTTTGCGACGAGCTGCTGCATTCACTTGTGGAAATGAAACATGGAAGATCGTTTTCTAGGCATGGCAGGAGAGGAAGAGGTAGAGGAAGAGGAAGAGGAGGTTATCGCGGAAGAGGACGGGGCAGCAACAAACAACAAGACCCAAAAATGAGTTTCCGAGATTTCTAAAGTGTTGTTTGATTATCTTACTAGAAGTTTGAAATATGATTTAGATTTTTCTCATAAAAATTTGTTAATTAGAGATCATTATGTCAGAGACAACACGTTACTTGTTTGGAATTGAGATGTAGTTGTAGTTGTAGGGAGGACATTTTGTTGAACTAGGAACAATATATATGCTGGTTTATTTTAGAGAAAAGAAAAAAGATATTGACAGTTGCACTGTTAAATCTATTTTAGTGAATATTCTATCAACAATGGAATATTAATACCCTAAATCTATCTGCTTATTATCTTATTTCAAGCTCTATATATTCTATGACAAACAACATATCATCAGAGATTTATATCGGTGAGTTTTCTATTTTTAATCAGATATTTTGGGATTCTGTGCATAGGAGTGGGAATGAAAGAAAACATGTGAGTGGGACAACACTTTTCTTATTAACGGGATCTTATATTACACAATTCAAATTAATTGGATCTTAATGTAGATGTTGATCACCAAACTTTAATATAGATATCGATCATCGAACGATTTTCTTTTTTAAAAAAATACAACAAACAAGTTGACTATTTCCTTTCTTTCTCAATTCCATTTTCTTTGGAAGGATATGTTAGTGGGAGTGGGTAGATGGGGGACCTGTTATTGTGGTCCAATTTTGAGACAAGAAATCATGTTACTTTACATAGCATGGGAATCTTATTATTATGTCAACAATTGGAAAATAAAAGAAAAAAAGTTATCGGGTGAAGAGAAATGATAATATTAAATACCTAAATACTTGAAAAGAATAATAAAACGGGATAGTAATATAAATGCTACTCATAACTTAAAAATCCAATTTTACCTTTCATTTCTTAAAGCAAGAAAAAAAGACAAAAAGAAAAAAAAAAATTTAATCATGTCTACTCAGCCTCGTTCACGTAAAATTAATAAATGTATGTCACATAGCTCTGTATATACACTTTTGATACTTCACGATGGTTAATTACTATGCATTCACATCTCGTCAAATCACTCCACTAGTATAAGTTTACCAAATTTGATATAAACAACATATACGAATACCGATTTATAAGTGTCACACTCCAAAATCCCATTTGCTACTACATATAAGGCTACAAAATGCCTTTATGTCTCTTTAACTTATTCCACCTCAACACTATATCTCTCACAAGTAGTAGTTGGTTACCACTAGTTCTTATCATTTTCCCAAAATAAAATTGAAATTTCAAGATTCCAAATATTTCAAGAACATTAGACATGGGATTATATGAATCATGTTGTGTTATAGTCCTATATTTTATGTTCTTACTTTTGAATCCTCAATTTTCATGTTCCATGTCATGTACAACACAAAAGTTCACCAGCAACAAATTGTATGAACATTGCAATGACTTGCCACATTTGAATTGTTACCTTCATTGGACTTACAATCCAAAAATTTCTTCTTTAAATTTAGCATTTGCAGCTACTCCTACTAAGCCTAATGGATGGATTTCATGGGGAATCAATCCAAATGGGACGGGAATGATTGGTACACAATCGTTGATCGCGTTTAAAAATCTCAACGATACTATAGTTGTGAAAACCTTCAAGTTGAACTCGTATAAGTCTATCGTGGAAGGGGAACTTGAGTATCGCGTTTCGAATATGCAAGCAATGTATAGTAATGAGCTGATGGTAATTTTTGCTAGTGTTGAATTACCTAAAGGAATGAAAGAGTTGAATCAAGTATGGCAAGTTGGAAGTTTAGTGTTAAATGGGACATTTCCAGGAATTCATGATTTTCAAATTGAAAATTTGAATTCAAAAGGAAAACTTGATTTGATGAAAGGAAAAAATGTTAATAATGGTCTTGAGGATACTATGGTCAAGAATAGAAATGTAAGTTTTTTCAGTTAATACCCTTTATTTTAAGATAATCCGTTTTATCAGATATACATGTTGCTTCTCATCATCAGCGAGGTATCAAATAGAAAAATGTTTTTGACAAATGAATACCTATTTCATTTTTTTGAATATATATTTTTTTCTTCTAATATATGATTTTTGGTGGAACAGATTCATGGAATTTTAAATGTTGTGAGTTGGGGAATTTTATTTCCAATTGGTATTATGATCGCAAGGTATCTAAGAACATTTTTGGATCCAATATGGTTTTATGTTCATGTGACTTGTCAAATATCATCTTATATTATTGGAGTTTCTGGTTGGGCCACTGGTCTAAAACTTGGAAGCCAATCCAAAGGAATTATTTACAATTCTCATAGAGATTTTGGTATTGCCTTGTTTTGTCTTGCAACTCTACAGGTATTTTCCTAAATCCCCAATGATTCTTTTTCGACGTTTACGCTATATATATCGTCAGTCAAGTCACAAAACTCCCGAATATATCATAATAATCTTAAAAGTAAGTTGCTAATAAGTTCGTTAATATCATCCACCTCCAATCTTAATTGTGTTTTCAACTCGCAAGATATATAAAAAAATATCAGAGTTGCTAGGAAGTTTAAAAAAGGAACAGGAAAAGTACCATGATATATATATATAGTGTAAGAAAATTACAAATTAAAAAGGTGTATATAGCCAACTATTACACCAACACCTAATTGTGTTTGTTCACGTTTAAACAAATGAGAAAAAATTACCTAGCTTTATTGGATTCATATATAATCATGATCTTACATACTTTTCGTTCACTTGTTAGGTCATATATCGTCATGTGCTTAGATGTTTGTATTCTGCAAAATTGATGCTAATTTATTTTTATTTTTTCCTCCAAAATTATGAAAATGTAGGTGTTTGCAATATTTCTGAGGCCAAAGAAGGAACACAAATACAGATTTTATTGGAATATGTATCATCATGGAGTTGGATATGGTGTACTTGTTCTAGGTATCATTAATGTATTTAAAGGTCTTGAAATTTTACAACCACAAAGCAAATGGAAATTGGCTTATATTATTTTCCTATCAATTATTGGAGGAATTGCTCTTATTTTAGAAGCAATTACTTGGATAATTGTACTTAAAAGGAAGCCTAGAAAATCAAATAACAAACTTCATGATGGACAAAATGGAAGACAACAACCTCTCACTTCTTGAAGTTATTATTGAGTTTTATTTTTTCATATATATATATATTTGTTTTTCTATGGTTGGGTTGAATTTATTTTAATAATTTTCTTCTTGTTTAGAATCCATACTCTTATGAGAGTATTGTTGTTGTATTGCTTCATTTTAGTATTTATATAGTAAGGAATATAAATATTGTTGCTATTCAAACAACAAATTATTTTCTTGTCCTTTCAAAGATAATTACGTATTTATTAAAGTGTTGTTCAACATTCTTGGCTATCAAATGCATTACATGTAAGAAACACTAACAAATTTCGAATCAAGAAAATTTAAAATCGAGACCTTTCGTTAGGAGTAAATTAATCTGAAACAAAAATTCCCCCACAACCCCATTTTATTTGACAAAATGAATAAATTATGGACAATTATCATAACTTAAAAAAACAAAAATTAAGAAAAGGAAGTGTTAGGTTAAAATAATGTCTATTTTAATTTAACCTAACAAGAAAGCCATGTGTACTCATGAGAATTGAGGTTTTAATTACTTTTCACTTTCTTGATAGTAGGAGACAATAATGTTTATTTGACAGTAAGAACCTTAATTAAATGGAAATTATTAAGTATGATTAAAGTAAAAGAAATAATTATAGTCCCTTGCATGCATAACAAGCAATGATTTCAGAAGCATTACTAATAGTAATAGGCAAACAATGCTCATTTACAGAGGTGGAGTCAAAAATTATAATTTTATAAATTTAAAATTTTAATTCTCTAAATATAAATTACGTATTAAATTCAACCGAACATATAGCTTAACTTAGACTTCGAAGAAGTGTAATTTTTGGATAAATTTTCAAAACGAAAAAATATTTCATAGCTAAATAACAGAAAGAACAGTTTTATTTATTGATGAATTAACGATAGGTTATCATATTCTAAAAAGAAACGAAAATAATTTTCATTTAGAAAAAGTGTAATGCCGAAAGATTTGGTCACGAGAAAATATTTATGGACCCATTATTAGTTAGCAACATAAACATATACTACAAGATATCACAAGGCTAATAAGTGAAATTAATTAACTTAATTATTGAAATCATTCCAAATTAAAGTAGAACTAGTGACCACTTGTGAATATTAACGTATTTTTCCTAACTATAGATATACTAATCACGGGAAAATATTTTAGATTAAAGCAAGTAATTACAAATTATGTTAGTTGTAACGGTTTAAATTTAACTATCATTATATTATTTGCTTGATAAATAAATCATTAACCTGATCAAATTTAAACGAATGCGATGAACTCATCTGTCATAAACTCAATTGAACGACACCTGTTTACATACAGCAAATTATAAAAGGGACCCAATTTGCTTAATGATTTAATGAAACTCATAATTATGTTATGACAAAAAATAAAAATCAAATAAAAGGAAAAAGTACAACTTCATGTGGAGATTAAAGAAGTCAAATATTGGTTGATAAAGTGAACTTGAAGTGCACAATTCAGACATGTAAACAACTTTCAAATAAAATACTTGAGAAACATGTAGTCTGCTAAAAATAAATATGTCTCCATAAAAAATAGTTCCTCGTACCTGATGTTTACATCGAATCAAACAATTTATCGTTTAAGAGTAATAAAACTTAAAAGTGAGAATACATATGCTCAATCAGAGTTAAGAGAGATTTATACAATTCACTGTGTTACTGAATTGAATGAATACTGAAAAATCTCTTAATCTTGAGCTAACAATAACAAAATGTATAACCAGTTAAGACATGGTTCATCTTGAGCAACAACTGCTCCAAGATCGTTTCGATCCTTCTCCGTCGTCTTTTACAAGGTTTACCCTGTTAATAGATAACTCTGCCTTGTAGGAATCCGAATTCAAGACCTTTCGACTGACATTGCTATAGATTTCACGGATAACAATCTCGAAAGCCTTATTAACGTTTGTAGAATCCAACGCGGATGTCTCCATGAAGAACAATCCTTCTGCTTCTGCAAGCTTCGCGCCTTCTTCAATACTAACGTCTCTAATGTTGTCCAAATCACATTTGTTTCCTACCAGCATCTTCGCGACTGTTGTATCACAATGGGCTGCATGGTTCATCAGATTTCAAAAGTTTAGTAATTCTGCTGCCTCAGACACATACATTATTATGTGAAATAGAACAAAAATCACGAGACTGACAGAAAGTTTCAACCGAAGTAGAGAATGGAAAATTCACTTGTTAGTTAGTAATGACTACATTCCCTTATATATACAGTTCGTGACGTCTTCAATTGTGCATCAAATTACGAATCAAAAGTAGAGGAGCTAGCATATAAACAATCATAATTTCTATTTGAACCAGCTGAGTACGTCTGCCCGAACCGATAGCAAATTAACTTGTCTTTCTAAATGTTTTTTACGGATTATATTAAATTCATAATGAAAATTCAATCTGCCTAATATTTTCTTTTTACTTAGACAACAGCAATAGAATCAAAGAAATGGCTAATTTGGACAGTCTGAAGTACACGTTTCAACACATTCGAGAAAGACTGTCCATCTTTAGCTACGCGCATTCGGGCTCAATACTGATATCCTATATCCCTTTTACTTCTTATTCTACCAAAAGGTTCAAGGAATTTCGCCACATGTTCGAGTGAAGATGCAGATCCAAGACAATTAAGTAGCAATGCTTGAACCATCAGTTCAAATGTTGCATATGCAAGCAATTAGACATTTTCCGTAGGCGAACAAAGAACATGCTATATTTACCCCAAAATTCCAAAAAAAAAAGAAGGGAATATTTAGGAACAAAAATTGGAGAGTAAGAGGCAAATAAAACATACACTACTAAAGCACCAAATATTATGCTCATATTAGAACTAATGGATCGACGATATTTCTTATAACAAGACACACAATATTCTTGAAAACTAGATCCTAGTTGCTCGGAGATGAAGACCCTCAAGAAATTCTAGGTATTTACCAATTGAACATTGACTAATTACAGAACAAAAAGCAATCTTTCACATGAACACCCAATACTAAGAAAATTCAAAATAAGTAGAATAGACACACATTTGCATTTTCCCCGTCTCATTTCCAACCTAAGTCCTAAGGTACAATTGAATACCACATTCTCAATTAAAGTCAAACTTTTCTATAAGAGGATGACTATTATAGAGAGATTTGAATGTAGATGTCAATATCAATGATCAAAATTAGAAACAAATTCATTTATCCTAATCTCTTAACAAAAATATTATGTATTTTCACCACATGTTACATTTCTAAGTCTCTTATTTTCCATGACATCTTTCTGTTTTTGCCCACTGGTTCTTCTCTCTACAAAAATAATAATAATATTCCTCCCGTTTTCCAAATGAAGCAGAAGAAAGACAGTGGTTCTCTCAGATGAGGTGCGATATTGCCGATATAGGGGTGTGAGGAAGATGTCATGGGAAAAGTGCGATATCAGAGATCAGTCAGAGAAGAAGCACTAGCTTGGAACAGTGGAACCTTTATTACATTAGAGAAAGCAGCAAGAGCTTATGATGCGGCGGCAAGGTTGTTTCGAGGCTAGAAGGCCGTCCCTAATTTTCCTGAGGATAACCACCATAACACCAAAGATTCTCAGATTTGAGAGGATATGATTGGAATAACTATTATTATCACCGACATTCTTAAGATTAAGCATCTTGAGAAACTCGTTGGTGTTTTGGAGGTTATCCTCAGGAAATTAGTTGATGACCTTGTAGCCAGAACAGCCTCACCTCCGCATCGTAAGCCCTAGCAGCTTTCTCTGGCGTATCGAAAGTCCCAAGCCAGTGGATACACCTCTGGCTGGGATCTCTGATCTCAGCCGTGTACTTCTACCATAACGTCTTCCTCAAACCCCAATAACGTACCTCATCTCGAAAGGACCACCGCCTTTCTTCCATATTAGGTGCAACGGAAGGATTTTTTTTTTGTATTTTTGTGTATATAGAAGAATCAGTAAGCAAAAACAGAAGAAGGAGAATGGTTTATATAGCTGCCTCTCAAGGGGAATTTATGTGGTCCACTTAATTACATGAAAATATAGTAAATTATTTTAAGTCCTGAAAATGACTTAGATTTCAACTTCAATATTTATTAGATTAGATATACATATTAAAGATTATTTTTCTTTAAGTTACAGAATCTGAATAATAATGTAAATAGATAATATAAGATTTATTCATTTATGTTACAGAATCTGAATAATAATGTATATAGATAATATAAGATTTTTTTAATTTATGCAGCAGAATCTGAATAATAGTAATGTATATAGAATAAATATAGCTGATCTTCAGGAATTTGAATATTTAGTTACCATAATCTTATTCTATTCATGTATTTATATCATTATACACTTTAAGTAATATACAAGTTATTCTTCATACCATATGAATTGCACGATATCCGAGTCAGGTCAATCCCCATTTGGGCTCCTGGTCTACAATGCGGTTGGGTTTGGAGGTGAAGGGGGTGTTAGAGTGGATAAAGTCCGACATTGGTTGGGGAATGGCCTGATGGTTTGTTTATATGGCCTTGACAATCTTTACAATTTACTTAACAAACCTTATGAATTAACTTCTTCTTTTTTTGAAATTGGTAAGGTTAACCTTATAAATTAACTTATTTCCATATAAAAAATGTTCTCTTTACTATATCAAAGACAATCTTAGTTAGCGGCATATTCATGTTTGACTTTGGGACGTGGGGAATGGTACATACATTTTTGTATCTTCCATTATCCGACTGTTGTTATCAAACTGCATGCCCCATTGTCTTCTTCTATTTTACAACTATACTTTGGTACGTTACTAATGTTCTCCTCCCAGAGTTGAGATACAATTAATTTGACATGTCATCTATACATCCATGTTAGCAATTGACAAATATGCAACACTGCTGAAACAATTTCAACCCTTAATGATAGCAGTTCAGATGAACCAACGTGAAATATAAGGATTATTCCTATCTTTTTGTAACTTGTGCGTTTTTCAACACATTTTGAAAGAAAAAAAAAGATCTTGCAATCTAAAGTTTGGTGAATTCTTGATATCATATCAGTTTTACTTCTTCCATAAAGTTCAAAGAACTTTGACACATCGCAGATGAAGATGCAGATCTAGTACATTGAACTAGCAATGCTACAGAATGTATAGTTAGCATGAAAAACATGTTCCATTTAATATAAAAATAATGAACAAGTAAGACGTACTAGTAAAACGCCAGTTTCACGAGAACTTATGGATCCACAACAATTGTGAAAATGATTTCTCATGGAGTTCATAAATTAGGTGAGCAAGAATTCTTGCCCTCATCTAAGACCTTGCTAACAATATGACATTTTGAAAGACATCATGGCATATTATCAAATTATATAATTAAATGTGACGTTTCTACGCGATTTCTTTTCATTTGTCCAAGCGAGTACCTAGAAGAGTCAATTGAGGTGCTTAACAAGCTAGCATGGTACATCACAGTGATACCTAGCAGAGTTAATGGAGGTGCATAACAAGCTAGTGTGAACATCACAGTTATAAAAAAAAGTTCCTTTGATTTGTTCTCATGTCTCTGTCGACATAATAGTTATCCTATAACTACGAAATGTTGTCGGGAGATAGTAGATACCTATAAAGAGTTAATCAAGGTACACAACAAGCTAACATGCACATCACCATTATAAAAAAAAGTTAATATCTTTCCTAGCACCCAAGGATATGACGTATTTCTCAATGAACTAATACATACAACATACACCATATCCAATATAATCCCACACGTGAGGTCTGGAAGTGCCCAATGAACTAAATTGAGATATAATAGGTGATTTCTTCTCATGCCTCGGATGACAAAGTTACGCTATAGCTACACTATATTGGTGGGAGGTAGCAAACATCTCGTCACGTTAATCTAGAACCACAAGCAAACTAACTCATACACCACGGTCAAAAACACACATAAAACATCCTTTTTTTTTAGTTTCATAACTGAACAATCAAATAGTTTCTATGTGCAAGTTTCCAACATGAACTAAACACACATCAACTATCAGTTGTCCCCTTTTACTACTTAAACCATAGTGATCTTTGTGTTTTGATAAGCAGTCAATGAATAGTACATCTAAAAAAACCAGCAAAAGTTTCAATCTTTGTTATAAAAACTAAAAAGGGGGTGGGGTGTATGAGAAAAAACTTACTATTGAGCTCATCAAGCCATCTAGTAACACTTTCAAAAGTACTCCTCCGACTTATATCATACACAAGGAGTGCACCAAAAGCACCACGATAATAAGCAGAAGTCACAGCTCTAAACCTTTCTTGTCCAGCAGTATCCCAAATCTGAGCTTTAACTTCTTTCCCATTAATTTCAAGAACTTGGGTCTGAAATTCAACTCCAATAGTAGCTTTAGAATGCAAATTAAACTCATCCCTTGCATATCTTGACAACAAATTTGATTTACCAACTGCTGAATCCCCTATTATTACAATCTTGAAAAGGTACTCTTCAACATCATCATCTGATGAATCCATTTCAAGTCAAAACTTTTTTTTAGTAGATTTTTTTTTTTTTTTGGGATGTTGAGAGAAAATGGAAGATGGGTTGTGGGAGAAAATTAAAAAAAAAAAAAAAAAGGAGAATTGATAACGAGTGGACCTTGAGCTACGGCATGTGTTGTTGCAATAATAATAGTAGTAATAAATTTTATGGCATTGTGCCAGGAAATGCGCCACTTTTTCCTCTTTTCTATGTTTTCCTTTTACCTAAGAAATGGGTTTTGATTTCACCGACAAAATTATTATTCTTCCTTTGATTTTATATTCAATCCTTCGATGGTTTCGATAACCGTGATTCGAAGAGTATAGAATGTATGTAATTTATTTGTATACGAGAAGGTGGATGGAGAGGATGTTGAGAGATTAGAAAAAATTAAGTTAAAGAAAGCATGATAAATAAATTTAGGAGGGAAAAAAGTAATTATTATAAAATAGTGTAATACTCAATATTTATGAGATATAATAATAGAAATCGAAGAATAAGAAACTATAAAAAAAAAATACTATAATTGATGATAAAGAGTGATAACCAAAATAACATTTTATTTCATACAATTATAATCTTTTACTTAAGGTTATATTTTCGATAAATTATAATCGTATCATACGCAAAGTAGTCAACATTTTGGATCCAATGCTTTTTTCACTCTACTTCCATTTCTCCAGAAATTATCCGTAGCCAACCTCGTTACAATTTTACTTTCTACATCTTATTTTTCATTGAAATTGATTCTATTGCCTAATATATTTTAATTTCCAATTCCAATTTTCTTTGTGTACCAACCACAATCATCTAATATTTTGATTTTTTTCACTTTCATATTCTAAACGTGAAAGTTTTAAATGGTTATTTATTTATTTTAAAAATAATTTAACTAGATTGCACTTGTGCATTACTCTCTAATTCTAAAGAACTACCTTATGAATGCAGTAAAGGTAGGGGGAAATGCAATTATTCACGCAATTTAAGTTTATTGAGGATAAAATTTTACCAAAAAAAAATAAGGTCGGAAATTAAATTAAATTGTTAGTAGATAATTGTACCCTTTTCTCATAAGTTTTATCTAAATTTCTCTTAATTAATAGTATTATTTAGTAATCACGTTATTCTTGTTTTATGTATATTATTGCATATTGTTTCACTTACATACTTTGTATCTTGTTATTTGGCATTTGTCATATTTTTATAATAGCATACTTTGAATTTTTCTTTTATATATCAAATTAAATATTAATTAAAACTAATTTTTTGATCCATAAAAATATGAGCGAATTTCATATATTATCCTCTTCAAACCTCATTTATACATGAACTTCTTTTACCACTTGCTTAATATTTAATGTCTACATTAAAGCTTCGAATTAAACATAATATTGGATTAATATGAATTAATTGAGCATATAGTTAGACATTTTTCAACAAGTGATTGACAATAAATTATCCAAATGATAGATGATGGGCCCACAAATGGGACCCACAGGATGACACATGGATGAACCAAAACATCTCAGAACAAATGTGTTCTTCTTCTTCACACGTCAGTCTCTACCCAAATCCACACAACCCAAATTTCCCAAAACCATGAAAAAAGCTTCCAATTCGCAAAACTAACTCCACCCCATCTCTCAAAATTCAATCTTTTTTCAATCTCTGTCCAAATCTTGATTATTAGATTAGTACTGATAATGTCTGTTGCAGCAATGGGCATAGTTTCAGGAGGCATTGGGTATCTTTCACAGTTGTTTACAAGTGATATAGCTGCTTCTACTCATCAGTTTTGTTGTTTTTCAGTGAATTCAAGCCCATTGCATATGAATTTTTCTAGGAGTGGTTGTTTGGTGAAAAGGGGTTCTTTGTTAAGCCCTAGAGTTTCAGTTTCTACTACTGGTAATGCTAAGATTGATGGAGTTGATGATCAGTTATCTTTGTCACCTGATGAGATCAAACCAGCTCGGGTGAGACCCTTTATTCGTATTTGCATTGTGAACATTTTGCAAATTTGCAACTTGAAAAATTTGAGTTTTTGAAGTTGGGATTTTTGGAATTTGAAGTTGTGTTTTAACATGCATTTCACTTGAAAAAAGTTTGAAATTTGAAGTTTTGTGATGGAAAGTCCCAAGAATCTTGAAAATATTTGAAGATCAGATTTTTGAATTGATCAAATTTCGTGGCCAAACAGATATTTGAATATATATTTTTTTGAAAGCTACTCCCAGGTCAAACGCTAGCTTAAGCCTTTATAGACTTCCTATATTGCTTGTGGATGGGTGTTAATTTTTTTAAAAGGACAGTCATTGATAAATGCAATTGTTTTCTCCATTATGATGCTCTCATGACGAACATCCTTTCATCATCTGAGTGGGTGGTTAAGCAGGGTTTACTTTGTTAATAAATACATCCAATGAATCAAGAGAATGCAGAAGAGTGGTAGACACAGCTGAATGGATAAAATAGATTGACTTGGACTGCGGTTGGATTAGCGGAGTTAGAATTGAGAGGTCTTGGAGTGAACTTGTTAAAAGTCCCAGCATGTTGAATCTAAGGACTTTTTAAAAATAATCATGGTTCAGACAAAGTTTTGTTGGTTATGCAGTAGATATATCCAAGTAGTGTTGTTTAGGGCCTGATTATGGCTTCAGTTCCATATTACTTATGCAAATATCTTTGGAAAGATAAAATTCAGCTAGATCAAATGGATCCTGATATATATGTCATGTATCTTTGGAGTTTTTGAGCTGCAAGGTGATTGGCCTTCGCATTGGTGATGAATATATTCTAAAGATTTTACCATCTGTATTTCTTTTCATATTGCTGACTAACTTGATTCAGCACTATAATATATGCATTACCTTGTTCTACACTTCCCTTTAGATTATTGTGGTTTGAAGCGTATGTAATATAGTACTCCTTTACTACAAAGTATTAGAAGTCTGCTGATTGGAAAGCAGCAAGGACATACAGTGAGAGGGGACTGATATTTGAGGGCAAGGTTGAAGGCTTCAATGGTGGTGGTTTGCTGATTCGATTTTATTCTCTCGTGGGTTTTCTGCCCTTCCCACAGATGAGCCCTTATCACTCTTGTAAAGGTACTAAGTTCACCTTTACAGCTTATTTTTCGTTTCAAATCACCATTTTGTGCTGATCCTTGATATTTCTAAGCTTCATAGGTTGATTAATGTATCACATGTTTCTACATAGAAGTTATGGTAATATATGCATACTTACTGAGGGTTTATCTGTCTTTCTTGTTACCCTTACTTTTTGTAGAACCACAAAAGACTATTCAAGAGATTGCGAGGGACTTGACCGGTTCTGTCCTCTCTGTGAAGGTACTGATCCTCATTACTTCTTCTATTCTTGAACTTTTTCTCATCTAAAGTACAAACATTCCCCTATCATTGTAGAATTAGATGCCACATTATAATATCTAGTGCTTACGGGTTGCAAAATGTTGTAAAGTTTCAAGCAAGTAAAACTACATTTTTGTAGATCTCATATGATATAGCGACTTCTAACTTGCAGAGCAATCACAGGTTCTCTCATCATTTAAAAGAAAACGTATCCCGTCTTTACACTGAAACTTAATGCACAAATTTTTTTGCCCACTAACCAACTTCGATTTCAATTACCAATTTTTCTCCCCAATAGATCTTAGAACTAAGAAATGTTTAGTGTTACTGAAGTTAATTGTGTTCTTCCTCTACTTTCCTTTATGATTCCAACATCAGTTAACCTTCGAGACTACTGTCAGGTAATCCAAGCTGATGAGGACAGACGAAGATTGATATTCTCTGAAAAGGAAGCTAGCTGGTTGAAGTTTTCTAATAAAATAAATGTAGGTGATACTTATCAAGCAAAGGTCGGTTCAGTTGAGGATTATGGTGCTTTTGTTCATCTACGCTTCCCAGATGGTACTTTCTTAAGAGACAGACTTGCCTGTTGGGTCGTATTTTAAGCCTGACTACTCGGGTTACTCATTTCAATCTCCGTGTCAACTAATTTCTATTTTACCATGTGATGTAGGATCTTATCATCTCACTGGGCTTGTCCATGTCTCAGAAGTGTCTTGGGATTTAGTTCATGATGTCAGAGACATCCTCACAGAAGGAGACGATGTGAGGGTTAAAATCATAAATATTGACAGGTAATTTTCTCATAATCGTGCTTATATGGACGTGTCCTCTAATACCATTAGCAGATTCTTCTTTATAGTTCAAACAGATCACCTGTTGGCTTAGAAAGATGGATGGCCATTTTTTTAATCATGTATATGGGAAACTTCTTAGCCATAAAATGATCTGCGATACTCACTCTCTACCTTTGTGATTCGTCGAAATAACTTTTTCTTTTACTATGGTGAATCGAACCACAATGTATTTGAAAAAAATTCAATATTTTTTTCTACAAAACAAAGAACTACTCCATCTGCAATGTAATGAACAATAAGGCAGTGATTGTTTTGCTTATTTATATTTATATTTTCTCCGGTCACTTCCCATAATAAGTGAGAACACATTACAGGGAAAAATCTAGGATTACCTTGTCAATTAAACAATTGGAGGAAGATCCTCTGCTGGAAACTCTGGATAAAGTAATTCATAAGGTGAGCCATGCAAATGGTCCAATTTCATGTTTGCCTCCTTCATTAAACCTAAATTTTGCTAAAGATGCATAATACTGTTACTGACAAATGCCACACTTTTGCAGGATGCATCCGTCCATAAAAATTCCTTGGATTCGAATGGCAGCTTGGTTATTGAGCCTCTTCCCGGGCTTGAAACAATAATTGAGGAATTAATGCAAGAAGACGGGTATGATTGAAGTTTAATTTTTGACATAACGGAAGATTTCACTAGACCAGATAATTTCAGTTTTTCATATACTATTATGTTTACGGGACAATTGTATGTTCCATTATCTACACAAATGAAGCATGATGAACGATTATACATGGAAATTTTTTGGTTAATTCACATGATTATTGAAGCATACCTAACAAGTTCTGTTCTTTTGTTCAATAGCATATACGATATTCTAATCAGTCGACAAGGATTTGAGAAACGAGTTGTTTCACAGGACTTACAGCTTTGGTTGTCGAATGTAAGTTGTCAAACATAAACCATATATGATATGATTCACAGTATTCATGCACAATAGATTTCCAACCTTTTCTGTTATGTCATCTAATAGGCACCAGCTACTGGGGATCAGTTTACTCTACTTGCTCGGGCTGGAAGACAGGTTATCATCTTTTACCTCATACGTTTCCTTTTCTACAACGTCCCATACTAGTGAATCTGAAACGATTGTTAATGATCAGGTGCAAGAAATACAACTGACAACATCACTTGATCAAGAAGGAATAAAAAGGGCTCTGCAACGAGTCCTAGAACGTGTACCATGAGTCAAAATGCACGTACAACCCCAATCTAAAGTTAACGGAGAAGTTCAGATGGATCGTTATTTCAAGTTGTGCAGGCTTTGTACAGAACACTAAAACTACTTCAAAAAATGTATAAACAAACATGTTTAGAAACACATTTCTTCAGATATAGTTCCCAGAAGCTAAAACACATATGACTGCAACCCAGCAAATCATCTTAATAGACATGATAACATGAACTCATGCAACTTCTTGGTACATTGCTACCCATGTTAAACTTGATCAGTTATTTTTTTCGCGATTTTCCGTTGTTTCCAGAATTTGCAACTGCTTTCTTGTTAAATTTGTTCAAGGTTGAGGTCCTCTTATTATGCAGATGGTACAGATAGTGATTTTGTCTAACTGTACTTTTTATTACTATCAAGCATGAGTACTGTACATGAGCTGCTTAGTTCATACAGCATACAAGAAAACATAAACAAGTTGTTCACTATGTTTTACTCTTTACATTTTCTACGCGTCCAATTACCCCTCTGAACTAGCCGGGAATGGATTTATCACACCGTATGTGCTGACATGGCATAGAGAGTGATTACACTCTTACAACACCATGAGAGACTGTAAAAGAGCACTGCCTTGACCGATTACTGATGAAGGCCAGCCATTCTAAGTTCTGAGGTTTGGTCGAATAGGCCGATTGGATCTGATCATAGCTTCGAGTTCAGGTGCCTCCTGCAGCTAGCTAACTCACGTGCAGCTTCACCAAGATCAATTCCACAAATATCAGAAAGTCTGACAAGATGAAGAAATTTAGTTGTCAGCAAAATCCTGAATAACCCAAAAGAACACATTGAGATTTCAGATTTTCAAGAGGCACACTTGTATAAGATCATATATCAACAATCTGGAAATCTTCCTTTTCTCTACATAACAATCTATTGTTTTATCACGTGTACATTAGGTAGACCATCTACATCATACCCTTGGGATGCAACCCTTTCTCGGACCCTGCTAATGCAGGATGATTTGTGCACTGGGCTATCCCTTTTATTGTTTTGTTATCTATTGTTTTATAACTACTTCTAATGATACAAAGTGCAAACGAGGCCACAAATATGGAGATGCAGAAGACCATTAAAGCTGCAAACCAATGATGGCAAAACTGCTATATTATTATTATTCCCTGTAAGAGCTACCACTGCTGTCTGTAATATACATATTGAGATGATGCCCCACCATCTAAGAAATTCCAAATGTGTCACATAGCCAGCGTACAAGAAATTCCAAAAGAAAATATATAAGTAAAGGGATTGTAGAAAGATTGCATGCTGCTGCAACATGAAATTTTATAACAATTGAAAACTAAAAAGCATATGAATAAGGATGAGAAATGTACCTCGGAAAAGGATCTTCCAAGAGAATGCTATGTAGATGCAAGTTCGGGTAGAAATTAGAGGAAGAATCCATATTTCAAGCCAGCGAATCCATATACGACTTAATGTTCATTATATCTACTCTGGACTTTGGGTTATTTTGTGGTATGAAAAGCTTCCACATCCCCACTGGATGTTGACTTCTCGCTTCAGTATCTCTTGAAAATCTTGCATACATTGATTCACACTCTGGATAAGGCTTTACATATAGATTATAAAATTTCACTCTACTCGGTTTAATCAACTCTCTCAACCCCACCTCATCACCAAGTCCTCCTATTGATCTTAAGTGGTCAATTACCTTGAATCTTGGTAGAATATGTTTATCGAAATTCACCCCAAGGTACTCAGGAACTTCAACAAGACATTGAATATCAAATTTCATCACGTGCAACAAAAACTCAATCTTCCTCTCAACATCATCTAAGCTATAAAGTATCACTCTCGGCTCTTTCCATAACACAGAATAAGCATCCCTTAAGGTTATCCCGTGATTGCGCAAGCAATCAACCCTTAGTTTCACCTCATACCCAGCCTTAAAAGCCCCATCTTGAAAAATATCCTTCTTAATAGCTTCCCTACATTTCAAACTCTTAAGCAGCTCCAAACACCGCGATAACTCCCCAAATTCAAATGCAAGAATTCTAGGATCTCTCAGAAGCTGTTTCTTAACCACCTCCATGTTAAAACCCAGAGCTCTAAATTCATCAAGCAATCGTTTAAACTTATTTTGAAATCCATAGACCAAAACAGCCGGATAGACACGGAGAATGCGATCGAATTCAACATTGCCAATCCCAAAGGCATCAACGACAAATTCAAAACTGTCACGAACCTTGTCTGCAGACATCGTAATTACCATGGGATGCGTCTCCAAAACCTTATTTAGAGTAATATCACTAACCCCTAAATCCTTCAGACATTTCAAAGACCCCAAAACACAATCATAATCTAGTTCAAATTTCATTGAGACCTCCAGAATATTCCGAATAGCCAAGGAGGATAAATTGGACCCTTCTTCGAATCCTCGCATGCATCCTTCCCATTTCTTTATAGCATCATATTCTAGAACCCTGGGACAACTACTTATCATGGATACAAGGAATTCTTGAGATGGTTTCAAGGATAATAGAATCTTAAGGGAATTTTCAATTTTGGCGGGGTCTAGATTTAGTAAACGACGATTCTTCTTGAGAAAATTAGTAAGTTCTAGAGCTGGAAAACCATATTTTTTTAGAAGACATGACACTGCAATGAGATTTCTTTGGGGAGATTTTTCTTGGAATTGTAGAGGATATTGAACTTGAGATTTTCTTTTTACAGTTGTTGTGTTAGTGCAAAAACAGCGGAGACTTGGATTTGGAATTAGAGTAGAGGGATTAGAAAATGACATAAAAAAGATTCTGATACTCCTACTGGTCATGGTTTCAGCTGGTTAGTAAGTTTTAAAAGGTATCTGATCACCTATCCGCATTCAAACGCATTGATGGCCTAATGAACAACCCTCAAAATCTGAAAAAATTGATTAAAACACGTAAGTATAACTATGGTTCTAGTAAACTTCGTAAAGTAACAATTAACAGTCTCTCTGTGTGAGAAAATATAAACTGCACATTTAGCTACCCCGGAACATGTTTAAATTGTATCCTTCCACCCAGTTCTGCAGTTTAGTCGCATATTCTCTTAACACCACCCGCAACTAGGAATAGAAAATATTCCACTCAACTCACATGTAAGAATTGAATAAGTTGAAATATTCATTACTGTTATCTTGAAAGGCTTACTACCTCTTTAATTAGTAGCAAATAAGTGAAAAGGTTTCTTCTTTTCCTTTTCCTTTTCTCTCGCATTAACATAACTCGACTATAACTTACATTAAGGGGTGTCAAATTAATGGGGTTGAGCTGAAACTATGTCAGTTAAATGGGCTAAATCAACAAATGAGCATGTCGTAACCCGAAAAGATCCTCTTATCAGATTACTACTAGCTAACATCAGATAAGCACAACACAACACAACATTAGATGAGTACAACACACAAAAGATACTTCCAGTAAAACACGACAATACGACCACAGAATAACCAAATTAGTTCAGATTACACTAGCTTTTGGTCGAGCATTTTCAGATTCCATCTGCGATACGTTACAATCATATAACCTATAGATAAACTAGCAGCATAACCTTCAGAAAGCTAAATCCACTAAAATATACAAGGGGAAGGAAATTAAAGGATTAAAATACAGAATCATTGCCACCAAGTTTGAATCCTTACAAATTCAAATCCACAAAAATCAACAAGGCTAAGGAAGATAAGAAACAAATTACAAGACCCATTGCCACAAAGTTTGATTCTTTAGTAATTCAAGTGACTCAGCATATCCTTCTGAAAGCTAAATGCACCATAATCAACAACGGGAAACAAATATCAAGCATATAAATTTACAGAACCCATTACCACAACAGTTTGAATCTTTACTAATTCAAGTGACTTATCATAACCTCAAGAAAGCTAAATCCACAAAAATCAACAAGGGGCAGAAAAATCAAGAAACAAAGAGTATTACCCATTGCCGCAAAGTTTGAGTCTTTACTAATTCAAGTGACTTAAAACAAATTGCTAAAACCATAACTCAAAGATTTTAGGGATTGTTTATAACAATTACCTGAAATCAGAAAAATCTTAAGAGAATGGCGATTACACTGTTAGGGCTTTTTACCATACAGAGTACCATCAACCTTTGAAAGCATTTTTTTAAGGCATAAAACACATTTTGTCAAATAATAAACAAAAATTTAGATGGTTAACTCGAGAGTTAAATTACTATAATATTCATAATTAAAAGTATTACTTCATTTTAATTGTTAAAATTACTGTATTATTTGTAACTTTAAACAGTCCCATTATATCTATATAAATAAAATATTTTTTTGAAAAGTTAGGTCCATTTTCACTAAAAATTACACACCTAATTATTTATTTAAAATAAAATTTTAATAAAATAGCTCGATATACATATACATACAACAAACTTATTGAGAGACTACTAACTCCACGTCCTGAACCCCAAATGGTCCAACAAAAAAAGTATTGGGGGGGGCAGTTTATTTCTCCAAGAAACCTTTTTAGTTTGTTTTGCCGAAAGAGGTACATTAAATGTCCCCAAATAAAAGTTTAAAATTTGACCGTAAAATTAAAATTATACACTTATTTAAAAAATATTAAAATAAATTTAAAAAAATAATTGACTTTAAAAAAATTAATTGTATCATATAAAATAGATAGATCGAGGGGGGGGAGTATTAGGGGGGGGGTGGGACATAGTGCAAACTTTGTTCAAAGTGTTGTTTTTTTTGTTTTTTGTGCACAATGACAGGGTTTTGTCATTTCATGTTGATATTATATTATATGCTTTATAAACACAAAAATAGGGGATTTTTCCTTTTGCTTTACGATTTCCTGTTAGTTTTGGTGATTTTTTTTTTGGAATAAACTTTATGGGAAAGCTTGTGATTTTCCTTACTCCAAATAAGGCTAAAAACAAGAACTCCATTTGTGTGTCCTTAGTTTTCTTTCTTTATTGGCAAAAATTACTTTTAGGCTTTTCAAGATGTTGTTTTGCTTTTTAAGTTTAAAATATTAGATAAAACTATTTCTTAGACAAATTTTCTGAGATTCGCATATAATAATAGTTATCTATAGCTGCATTGCATTCGATTTCTCAGTATTTCAAGTCGTACATTCTCATATTCTGGCTTGACTTGCCAAACACACGAGTAAGTCAAGAATCTATCGATTTCATTGGTAAAATTACACTAAGTAGGTCGTTATGGTTGCCAAAACATATAAAAGGGCCAAAGAGTCATTACTAGCCCCACACAGTGCCAATTTTGTCATATGCTTTTAGTGACACAAGTCCAATTTTGGATTTTCTCTGAAGTGATGAAAACCTTCCACAAAACAACAGAAGCAGTCCAACTTATTCAACAGCACAGTATCTCACCAAATCAATTCATTCAGTCAGACAAATTGGTTTGCCACACACAATTTGTTTCACATACAAACAAGTCACCCATCTTTTTACAGTAACAAACAGCAGAGGAAAAATCACTCCAAGTATGAAAACATGTTAATAGAGAGCTTTACTCACACTCGATGTTAACAGTGATGACATAAACATTTCTTTAATTTATATGAAGTATGAGTACAAGTAATAACATATTCAGTGCATTTTCACACTAGAATATGATAAAAATATATCTAAGCAAACTATACCTACCTCTCCCGCAAAAGTAAGGTAAAAAGATTGTTTCAGATAGACAAATGAGGACAACAATCTTTAGAACTACTATTCCCTGCATTTTGTCTTTTATATTTTTAAATCCACTTCTAAAAGAACAACTATTTTTTGCCAAGTCAAAATCATACAAACAAATTCAAATGACGAAAAATTATACTACACAAATCTCAACACATTTGTCTTAAACTTCTACAGTATTAACCTGTAGGCAAAGGGGATATGGATAAAGCAAAAAACCAAACAATCTAGAAATAGGAAGAAATTAGTTGACTTGATACATGTTACTTCAAATCAAACACTATATGTCTCTACATCCCCTTTTAGCACAAAAAAAAACTATTAGATGTCATTGCAAGTACCTATAAATAGACCACCTACTAAATCAAAAAAAGATCATTCACCATCATTAATCACACCATTTTCACTGCTTGAGGTGGTGGTGGTGGTGGTTGTACTTTTGCTCAAAAGAGTAAGCTTTTTTGATGAACCTTTGCAAAGACTAACAGGGTATTTAATGGCATTAAGCTCCAGTTTTCTGAGTACAGCATTACCTAGATCAATGCCACAAATATCTGAAAGCCTGACAAGATAAAGCAATACATCTGATAGCTCTTCACCTAAATGCTGCTTCTCTTTTTCTGCCCAATCTGGTAGACCTCTTGGGACCTCACCTTTCCACTGAAATATTTCAGACAATTCTCCCACTTCACCCACCTGGTATTCAAAATAAAGTTTTAGAATCGACTATATGAATCTTCATTGACCATATAAACTCATTTTATGCCAATATTGTGCAAATACACTATGTTGCTCGAACTCTCCGAAATTATTGTCACACCTGCGTAGGAGTATCTGGCAAGAGTCCAGAATTATTCACACCTGCATAGGAGCATCTGACACACTCTTGCCAACATTTCTGAAGAGTCCGAGCGACATCACAAATGCATATATAACGTATTAGAAGTGTGTGTCAAAATAAGCAAAATACCACTTTTCTTAATCTTCACCAAGTAATTTATCCAATGATTTATCTATACAACTGACACTACATGTGGTTTTTACACTACTAGGAGTAGTATTATTTACTCTCTCCGTACAATTTTATTTGTTCAATATGAACTTTACATGCCCATTATAAAATGAAGAATATTGATATGAGCCTTTTATTATAATGTCCATTTTTTAGTATTAGTGCAAGTGTTGCACTAGTTTCCATGTAAGTACTGCAAAGCTAAAATTACATAATGGGGAACATAAAATCATATAAAAGATTATTAGCACTATGCCTTCTTTGGTGGGAAACAAAAGAAAGCTTTTTTTTTTATTGGGGTTTCCACAAAATTGGAAATCCAAATTCTCCACAATGACCCAATACTGGCAAACATTTCTAGTTTCTATGAAACAAACAGAACTCTTTGTTCCATGGTTTTGTCTAAGGAAAATTTAGAGAAGAATTGTTCTTTTATCTTTCAAGACTCCAACTTTCTAAACTTAACCTCAGCCGAAAAGTAACACTTCTAACTATCAGCTAACTTGATTTCAAGTGACAACTAAACGCTCGAACTTGTCGATATTGTGTGTCATGAACACCTAATACATAAATTTTAGAGGTATTTAGATAGTCTTTTTGAAGTTGAGAGTGTTCAACCTACACAATAAAGATAAGTTGAGGTATCTAAACGTTCACTATCAATATTAAAGTGCTTATTCTTCAACAACTGCAGCCAAGTTTGAGTGTATATGTGTATATCTTGCTAATTCCACAGGAAAAACACATTTACTAAGAGATAAACAAAAGTAGCAATCTTGAAAAACAAAACAAACAAAAAAAATAATCAGACTAGCATAAAGACTGACCCATTGAGCAGAAAAATTAAAACACCAGCTTTTCCTTAAAAAAAATAGAAAACAAAGCAAAATCACCAAGAATAGCAGAAAATCATAAAACACAGAGAAAAAGACACCATTTTCATGGCTCAAAACATGATACACAACAAAACCCATAAATGTAGACAACAGAAAAAACCCACAGAAGACAAAGTTGCACTATGTACCAACCCAAACCCAAACCCCACATACTTGAAAGCCAAAAAAGACTTCATTTTTTACAAAAGGGGTAATGGGTATATACAAACCATAGCTAAAAGGAGATTTCTTGGTGTATGAAACTGATCCCACTCTCTTTCTTTAGCAAAATCAGCCATTTTTTTCTTCAGCTCTTCAAGAGTCACAACCCCTTTTGCTCCTTCTTCATCATTCTCTGTTTTTCCCTTCATCTTCTTCTTCTTCTGTTGTGATTTACATAAAATTTTGAAACTGCGCCGACTGTTTTTTCTCTTCTTATTTGAGCTTTTTCTAATGGTGGTTTTTCAGGTTTTTAAAAGGGGAATTGGTGACCTAGAAACTGGTCATTGCCGGTTTGCTGAAACTGACACCTGTCATATCTGACTGTTAAAAATTATTGTAGGACCACTTTGATTTTATGGTTAAGGTTTTTATTTGAGTTATGGTGGATGGGCGAAACTATTTCACACTTAAGCATACGTCTCATAGCTTTCAAATTCGTTGTAGAAATGTTATTCTCAAATAGTGTGATTTGAATTTAATTAAGGCTCCATTATAATCACAAATTGAAAAATTAAGAAATAAAATTTTGAGAATTTCGTGTGAAGTTAAATTGGTTGGATCAATTGATATATTCAATTGAAAATCAAAGAAAAATAAATTAAATATAGTATTTTGTGGTACTTAGAATTATAAGTGGTTTCAATCAAACATATGATACGATACAATTAAACATATGATATAATATTTTAATTATAATTCGTTTTATGATATAATATTTTATTGTAATTCATTTCAGTTATTATTTTTATGCGTCTTATAAATCATAGATTATCGCAAAAAATAGCGACTAATTAACTTCTATGACATATAAATCATAGTGTGTTTTTTTGCATAAAATCAGCCACTAATTACCTTTTGTATTAGAATATATTGCTTACTTTAAATTTCTAGAGGTATGATCTTTTTCGAAAACCATACGAATACAAAATGTTTACTATATGATGATGCTTTTTTTACAAGTCAAAATACATTACAAGCTAGGTGACCTGTCACATCAACTTTTTAGCTCGAGTGATTAAGGAGATCTCTCAAATCCATTTAGGATTATTCAAAGATTAGATTCTAGTCATGATTATATAATAAAATAATATTACTCCACTAAAGAATCAATTTTTGAATGTGTTACTTGCCAACTTTGATAATAGCACTAATTAGTAGTATAAAACTACATATTATGAGATGATTGTGCTTTTGTTGTAGTGATTTTTTATTTGGAGCGCACGCCAAGTTAGATAGAGCAAAGGGGGGTCCTGTCAAGTCGGTCAGCTAACGCCTTATCTTTCTATTTATAAGCTACAGTCTACTTTAACGTTTTCAATTTACAGCTAAACTAAAAGAGGAGGGAAAGGGTGGCGGACATCAAATGGATTAATGCAAATATCAAAAAGTCTATTAATTAGAGGCTATATAGTAATAAATTAACGATGAACTTTAGATATGAAATTTTGAAGTTTGCTCCCATCTCTCAAACACACTACTTTGACTTTTAGCAAAAATAAAATAAATTAATTAAACATCAATTTTTTCTCCAATTCATTCTTTTTTTAACAAAACTAATAAGAACATACAAACAAATTAATAATAACGTAAAGTCATATAAATTGTATGCTCGGAGAAAAAAATGGCGTAATGTTATATAAATTATATGATTGAAGAAAAAAAAATGGCCTATTAATACACCTTAAATATTTGTTTTTGGCATGTTAGAAAAGCTCAAATATTATATTATATGAGCACCTTGAATGAAAAAATAATTTAATTCACACACAAGAAGAACATTAATAAACTACAGCAAAAAGTGCAAAACAATAAAATTCAAATTTTATTCGTAATAAATCAAATCAAGAACGACATTCCTACGAACAGAAATTCAACTATTTGAAAATTAATAAAAACTAAATCATCAATAAGATATAAATCAAATCAAAAACAATATTCCTAGGAACATAAATTCAACTAAATGAAAATTAATAAAAATTAAATCATCAATAAGATATTGATCGATCCATCAATAAATATTCTTAAATATTCTTAGGTGGAGACGGTTTTGGTGGAAACTTAGGATGAAAACCACGAGAAGGCATTGGAGGATGAACAATTGGCCAATGTGGACGTGGACGTGGACGTAGCCATGGACGTGGACGTAGCCATGGACGTGGATGATACCATGGATGCCAATGATCTAGTCCAATATTATTATCTTGTGGATTAGTAACATCACTTTCATCATTAGATGTTGAATCAAATTTCTCACTTGCAAAACATAAGTTAACAAGTAGAAATATGCAAATGAGAAAAGTAACTAGGCAATTTTTCTTAGCCATAGTTTATACCAACGATTTTTTGATTTTTTATAATTAGATGAAATATGAATGTTGGTGTTGTGGGGATTTTATAGTGTTGTAAAGCAAGAGATTTATTTGGCTTAGGAGAGTTTTTATGTTAATCATAAGTGAAGTTTTTGTACAAATAGAATTCTTAAATAAGTGTAATGATATATTAAGAAGATACATAAAGATTTTTAATTGAAGAGGATAAGTATGATCTAGTCCAAATTTTATTTTAAATGAAACTAAATATTTGTTTGGGACGTGAAATTGCAAGAATATTAAGAGTCATATATATACATACACGTACAAATATTTTATAAAAAAAATTGCTTTCTCTTACCTCTTATGTGTAAATAATGTAAATAAATAATGCCAACTTTGATTTCTATATCATTTAAAAAAACTTGGTGGTTTTGCTAAAGATAAAATTTACCATTAAATTCCTTTTTGCTAGAGAAAGACGAATTTTGACTGGAAGGTTTGTGTTTAATTTATTGTCTTTTTGTGATAATGATTTTTCATGTTGTATTGTTTGTTGGCTTTAGATGTCTAGGTTTGCTAAAAAAAACACTAAAAATAAAATGAGGTTGTTGAGTTTGAGGATAGTACAAATTGTTATAGAGAGACTCTCGATTAAACGAGAATATTATTGAATTTGAGGATATAATAACATATGAATTAGTCTTAGCCTTAACTGTAAACGACATAGTTGAGTTTGAATTACTCCTATTTTGTAAAAATAGAGAGTTTTACGATAAAAAAAATCGATTCAAACAGCCAAAAAGTCTACCAATTCTAAAAGCCAAAGCATACAAAAACAGTAAAATTTTAACTTATTCCTAAGCCTTAAAAAAAAGTACTAATTTTTATTGCCATATTTGACTTTTCTCAAGGCAATGTTGGAGTTTCTCAACAGTGAAATCCTAAAAGCTACAACAAAAGAAGCAGCCAAACACATAATAGTGTATCTTACTATAGCAATAGTACTTCAACATGTTATACTATACAAACATTTGAGGCATACCACCCAAGATGCTACTCATGCAAGACAACCACTCAAGAGTCAAAATTTACAACCAATTTCCCAAACCTCTGCTCCGTTTGTGTTAATTTACGTGACACACTTTTAATAAAGTGATTTATATATAGCCATCATTCTAGGCTAGTGCAATTCCTGCTTTGGTGGATATATTTTTCTTGAGATAAGGATTTATCGGAACAGTCTCTTTACTTCTAAGATAATAATAAAATTTGCGTATGCTTTACCCTTTTCGGACCTCATTTTTGTGGAATCACACTTAATATGTTATTTCTATTTCTAGATCACAATATTTTTTTTATAAAAAGTTGAATCAAAAAAATTGATGACGTAATATTATATACTAGACAAATTAAATCTCAAACACATTTGTGTGAAATAGCATTAACCAGTAGGTAATAAGGGGGGACATGGATAAGACACAAACCAAGTAATCCAGAAAAAAGGCAGAAATTGACTGACTTGGTACATGTTACTACATCAAATCAACACTTTAGCATAAAAACTAGACAAACAGGAAGGAAAAAAAGGCAAAGACAATCAATGAAGATCATGTACCATCATCAATCACACCATTTTCACACTCATTGTTGGTGTTGATATTGGTTGAGGTGGTTGTTGTAATTTTGCTCAAAAAGAGTAAGCTTTTCTAGATGAACCTGTGCAATTTAATGACATTTACCTCTAGTTTTCTGAGTGCAGCATTACCAAGATCAATGTCACAAATATCTGAAACCCTGACAATATAAAAGCAATATTTTTTTATGAACTAAATCAGTTTTACGCCCCTCGACTAATTCAATAACATATCTATTACCTTTCACTAACAGCAAGAACTAAATAACTCTATCCACTATGACTGCAAATAAAGCTTTCGATGATGTCCTGATCATGTTATGCACAACTCGACTAATTAAACACAATACCCATTATCACAATGTCAAAAATGATTATTAGCAACAATTAATTCTTAATTGTCTCTAAATATGTATTTTTAATGGCAATTAACAATTTTTGCATATGTTCCTAAATCCTTTAGCGATATTAATTCTAATGACACTTAACTAATGTCAGTAAAAATTTTAGCACTCTATATTAGTATCAATATTTATTGTTGCTGAAAGTTATTTTTGTTGTAGTGTATACCTTCCACCAGTAACAAGAACGAAAAAACTCTGTGCACAATGACTATACAAAGTTAAAACGATACATTTTTTTTTAAAAAAATAAATATGATATTTAAATCAATTTTCATGTACCTCGACTAATTCAACATGATACTTTACTACCTTCTATTAACAACAAGTACTAGATAACTTTATTTCCGTAAATAAAGCAATACATTTGAGAGCTCTTCCCAATTTGGTAGACCTCTTGGGACCTCATGACCTTTCTACTGAAATATTTCCGACAACTCTCCCACTTCAACCACCTGGTAATAAAACACAAACATGCATCAGAATTCAGAATGGCCAATACCAAAATCTTTAGTATCATCAAAAATTAGTATTTGAGATTTAATTTTTAATTATACAATGAAAATGTATGAAAGTAAGTTGATTGTCTTGTTTTTCATGTTATAAGTTGATATACCTACCTTAATAAACTAAATGGCTATCTTTAATAATTCTCTACATTGTCGATCAATGTATAGAAGTTACCACTCATTTAGTAGGTCGGATAAGAAAAATAATTCTATTTGAAAGATAATCTCATTAAATATCTTTATTTAACCAATCTTGAGTCCACTGAAAAACACAATTTTCCTTTCAATTAAACTAAATATATGCAAAAAGTAATCAGCTAAACACAAAGGAAACCTTTTTTTTTTAACTCATTTTCTTCAAAGTTCATCCAA